TCACCGAATGAACCTGCATTTTTCAAAGATTCAGTCCACTTGGTTAAAAAAAACTAATAATGATAATAATGAAATACATAATAGTATGTAAAATGTTGTAAATGTGAATCTAACTTTGTTAGCAGTGACGATGTATACCAATTGTTTTTAACAGAAATGTAGCAACATGTTTCATGAAAACAACACACACATATATGAAATCTGTGTAAAAAAAGAACAATGTATATTACTGGCGTTGTAAACATTGCATGGGACTCATTACGAACATAATGCGACAACAGCTTTGCTTCAATAAAATGTTATAAATGATAAGATGCTGCTGTTAACTTGTATGTGAACAGTTACCATGCCAGTCTTTAAAGGGGAACCGCTCAATCCCATGGGTTGCACCAAAGAATCATGGGACACTATTGTTTATGTTGTTTACAGTGTTAATCTATCTTTTGTCATCCATTGTTATTTTAATCCAGAAAGTAAATTTGTTGTGAAATTAAGCTTAACTGGAAGGTGCCCCTTTAAGTTTATACCACACATGTCGTGAAATATATTTTTTACAGCACATCATTTCCACCCACAGGTTACGAACTAACAGGTTTATCCCGAGGAGGTCAACAAATAGACAAACTAAAGAAAAACTACGCTAAAGCTATTGAGTTACTCGTTGAACTAGCGTCTCTTCAAACGTCATTCGTAACACTAGACGAGGTTATTAAAATCACCAATAGACGTGTAAATGCAATTGAGCACGGTAAGTTGACACTGATTGTATTGCCTGTCATGTAATCATCACAGATCATGGATTCCTTGCAACTATTAAACACACGGTCAACTATATGAAATCATCATACTTACATATGGTCATTATTTTATTCAAATGTTCTTTGTTTGAATTTGCATGCATTTGTCTGTGAAAGGGGAACTATATTGTGAAGATTTAGCAGTTACACATTAAGGAATTTCTGTCACGTACGTGTATGCGTGATGAGGCGATATGAAAGTTGAACACTATCACAAAGTTGATTGACCTCAGCCCTTGCAACATGTTTTTAGTTACTGATCATTCAGTGCATATACTATGTTACTATTGCTGGTGATGTACATTCAACATTTTAAAATAATTTTCTTTATTTCATTTTTTTCTGCAGTGATTATACCTCGCATTGAAAGCACTATCTCATACATCATCACAGAGTTGGATGAGAAGGAAAGAGAGGAATTCTACCGATTGAAAAAGATCCAGGAAAAGAAGAAAGTCATAAAAGCTCAAGCTGAAAAAGATAGACTTGAAAGGAAAAGGGATGCAGAAAATGAAGAAGAACTCGTCAATAATCTTCTAACAGATGCAGATGACGAGGATCTGCTTTTCAAATAGTCCTCATTAAATTGTCATTCCTGTTTTGTCATCAGTTGAATTCAGAATCAAATATATTAAACCCAATGAATGTGATAATATACATGTTAAAAACTTAGAACTGGTCTCGATATTGCCAGGATACAAAAAGGTCAGGGTTAAAAGTAATCGTACTTGATATGGTTTGCAGATGTGTATGTAACTCAATGGTGTGTAAATTTCTTGATGTATTTTTTTTGTTAAGGCTTTTTTCCAATTGAAAACTACCTTGTTCTCAAAATCACAAATCTTGTACATGCATGTATGTTGTATTCCATCACCACAGGCACATCAAATACGAGTTGTGACTGTTGGAGTGCATATTCTTATGCAAATTCCCAGTCTTGTAATGTTGCGTTGCGTTGCGTTGCGTTGCGTGATGATCTCTCCAGATATGATGTAAATAAACACTGATTGGCTTTGGGTTATCTCTAACCTTTTGGTTGAGATGTTTCATCTTTCTCTGGTAATGGTAGTTTACAATCAGCAGATGTTCTCTCTTTATATTTTATATATTCTAACCTATTCTCACCTAAAATTAAATCTTGATTAGAATCATCTAACTGTGGTGGAGCACTGATTATTTATTTTAGTGATTTATAGACAACAAGGAGATTTCAATAAACTCTTAGTGTCATTGTTAGGGAGGCCTTTAGAATAATATTTTCATCATTTGACATGTATCAGCTAGTCGTGCAATGTCATTGATTCAGCGATACAGGGACTGACAGTTTTTTGGAACTCTTATTGTGCAATGTCAGAACTGTATTTTAATTTTTTTAATTTTGTACCATCCTGATTTTAAACAATCATGTTTAAAGAAATGAATGTCAATGTTGAATATGTTGGAAATAAAACAAGACTTTTAATTCCATATAAAACTCTACTGGTACAAAGAGTGTAGTATAAAATGACCATCTAAATGTATGGAATTAAAGTTGATGAACTCGTATAAATAAAAATTTTAATTGACAAATATTGTGTGAGTATTTATATGAGTGTTTTAATACACTAGAATAATTTTCTTTCACCAGTAATATATATTATGGCGAGATGGCATTATAAAATTCTTGATAAAAAATTCACCAAATTATTAGCTAATCAGAAAGCTGTTGGGTGGCCATTGAGTGAGCATCATGATAGTAGGATTTCTAATGTTTGAGATTTACAGTACATCTCATTGGATCAGTCCATGAAGGAGAATGGCAGTTAAATTACGCTGAATATCCATGCTGTACAATTGATGAGTCCATTTTAGTCGTCCCATTCATTGTCATCAGCTCCTGCTCCATCTTCTTCATCCTTGGTCTCTTGTTCTGCTTTGACAGCCATGATTTTATCAGTCCATGATCCACCGGCAGCTTCTCCACCAGCGTAGTTGCAAACATTGACGTTAACAAAGTCAATCTTGGCAAATGATGCTGCAATTACAAAGACAATGCACATGTGCTGGGTTATTATTATTAGACATGGTGAAAAAAAGCTATTGATTGGCAATTCTAAATCTCTGAAAACTAACCTATAAATGGACCATCCCCTGATGTTTTAACTCTGATGTGATCACCATCTCCAAGTTCTATTTTCTCTAATGATTTCTCCTCAATCCAAACTGAAACGCAGCCTGGGGGACACTGATGTTCTGTTAACTTGATAAGTTCGGGTTTTGTCACAAGTGAATTAAGTTCTGGTTGAGACAGTCTATCACTCTGTCCTTTGGCTTCAACTTCTATTTAAAAAGAAAGAAACGCAAAAAAAAAACCTATAAACTAGAAATTCATTAAGCAACTTGATTGTATTATTAGAGGTAGGTGAAGGTAATAGCTACACTAGGTATTATTATTGCCAGTATTCTAGAAACCAAGATATTGGAAATAAGAATATGGTAATATGGTTACTTACTGTATGACGATTGTAAATAACCAGTGCTAACTTTATGTTTTTCACTGAAGTTGGGTTCTATTTCGTTTCCACCACTGTCAAATTTTCTTTTATGGGCGTGATGTACTTTCATATGCAGCACATAGTACCTGTGCTAGGATACAAAATTTTGGTTTATGTTCGTAATAGATCATCTCATTATTCTGAGCGCAACAATAATTGGATGAAAAAGTCATGTGATATCAATATGCAGACCATATAATATTGATAAGTTTGTAAACTTAATGTCTATGACATTCAACAAATTCTTGACAACAAATACAACAACTTTTACTGCTTTCTGACCTTGCAAGCAAATATGCTGACTTCCAACCAACTTTTATCAACTTTCATTATAATTTCAAGAATTTCCAAACAACTTTTTTCAACTTTCATTATAATTTCAAGAATTTCCAAACAACTTTTTTTGACTTTCAACTTGAAATTTTCTACTTTCCATCCAACTTTTTTGACTTTCCAGTCACCATTAATTACTATTTTTTTTATATGAGAAGCCATAATTGATGATATTACTTATATATATGCAAATGAGTAAAATTGATGATTAGCAAATTTATTTGTCATTTCCATTGATATATACAGGGGATTAGACTGAACTGTAGTTTACGAAGTAACTGCCTACCTTGGTTTTAGACGAATCTGTTATAATGTGTCTGGATCGAGCTCGAATATTACCTTCAATCAGAATGCCAATCCCACTAAAAAAAAAGTTAATAGTATAGTATAGTATAGTATAGTAATTTGACACTAAATAATATATTTTGTTACATTATCTGTGGTCAAAAGACATTAAATATAATAAAACACAAGTTCACACACGAACAAAAGAAAATACATAAATAACTAAAGTCTAAGTTAAATTACTTATAGTAAAATAATATGCTGTCAATAAATTTGCTAGCACTATTGGCAATGAACCCATCTCTCGAAATTAAAATTTCAGTAAACATTTGTTGTTTTGAAGTTTAAGGATACTTTCATTATAAATGCTAACTACATTCAGAAATTCAGTACGAGCATTTGTTATTCCAGTATGGTTACAGTCTAAAAGTGCATGGATTTCATTGCCAATAGTCCCATTGTTACAAAGTTGGCACTTTCTTTCCTCTGGAGGTATCCCTTGATATCTAAGTTTTTCAATTGGTAGGGTATGTGCAGATATCCTAAATTTGGTGAAGCTCGTTCTATGTTGTGCATAATATATTGATTGAAAGATCAGAGAACAAGATTTAAAACTGACTGAAAAACTATCATGTAACAATTAATTAGTTAATAGTAAAATAAAGTATTTAAAAGTAAAGCCCTCCCAGGGTTTCAAATGGTACACCTCTTATGAACAACGACTGTTTCTGGGTTGGGTTGCACACTCGGACTGCGCAGGGCAAATCAAATCAGCGAATATTCTCTGTTTCCTTTTTTACATTGTACCTTTGCCAGTCTTCTTGTGTCCAACGTCCGCTCCATGTTTGATTAATTACTGGAACTGGCTGTAGTGGCCTGTCGTCATAAAAACGGCTCATTTCTCCACAACAATAACACTGGTACCCGTCACTGAAAGTGGGATGGGCTGCAGCCAGTAACCTTTTCTTTTACAGGAAGTACAGACCAGCAAGTTATACTTTTGTGTCGGGCGTGCTGATTGGACAATATTATGAATGATGTCCAATGAGCGATAGTTTTACTCAAGTGGCGTTTTAGTCCCTTATTTACAAAACAAAGGGTAAAGCTCGTACAGATGAGAGAGGGCCGGATTCCATGAAGGGCGATTTCACAATGTACAACCATGTACAAGTTTGTTAATCGGAACGATGATAGCACAGTGTACAGCGCCGTAGCCGAAGTGCTGACGAAACGTAATTCTGAATGGCTCTGTGTTCAGAAAGACAGTGCCCGTTTTCATTTGATGCTCGGCGAAATCAACAAGTTACCTTTTGCAAGGCTTGGTAAGATCATTGGATGTTTACATCAGTGTTTAGTGCACAGCGACCTGACGATCTAAGTACGGCTGGTAGAATCTAGCAGACAACATATACAGTAATTCCATACAGCTTAGATATTCATTTCGTGGCCAGTAAAGAAAAACCCTAAAAAACTACGTAATGATATAAGTATATATACATATTCTGTTGTAGTTTAAAAAAATAATATTAACAATATTGTGCTAAATTTCAATTTTTAGTAACATGTAAATGTATTTGTATGTAGTCAGATTGTTCAAGCTCGTACTAAATTTGAAGCTGAATCAGCAATTTATGATGACAATTTTTGCATGTTATCAACTTTTGAGAAATTTGCTAGTAATGAAGTGGTTGCTAGCTATAGCTTCATTACCAATTGCCTGGCAGAAAGGCATTCCTTCATCTTTATAAATCTTTATAAATTTCAATAGCAGTTGAATCAAGCCAGCCCATCAATGAGCACAGTGCGCAAGAACGTTATTTTAAAACATTCTAATGTTATTCAATCAGTAAGTAGGAACCTCTCATTTTAGTTTGAATTATGAAATTTATAATTATTTATAAAGATGAAGAAATGCCTTTGTTGCACCAATAGTAGTTTTTTCTGTTTTTTGTTTG